ACGGAACGAATGTGTGTCCAAGATCCAACCTAGAACTAAGTTCACCGAGGAGTAAAACCGTGGAGACAGCGGGTCCAACAGACTGGAGGAAGCTGTGGAGAAACATCGGGTCTTTTTGAAGGAATAATCTCAGATTACGAAGAGGAGCTGTCGAGTTGGAGAGAAAATGAGTTCAGGTTTGTTTGTTTCATTCAGCATCAGACGATGTTAGCTAGCTGTGGTTTCTAGGTAGTTGATGGATTTAACTTCTTAACAAGAACTTGTAAATGTGTCGTCTGTGTTTGTAGTTTAGCATGCTAACAGAAGCTAACGCTAAGGTGGACAAGATCTAGAAACTAAAATATTAGATCAAGAAGCGGGAGGCTGTTTTTAATTCTTAATTATACTCAGTTTGGAGATGTTCTATTCAAACTGTCATCAAGGATAAAACAACAGTTTTACACACTTAGCAGGGAAGATTTTTTTAAGACCGTGTCTAAATTCAAGGCCTGCAGTGTTGCCAGATCTCGCCATAGAAACAAGCAACCAGCTCTATGAAAACAAACCCAAAACAAGCCCATCTGGCAACCCACCACATTGTATAAAACAGAGGCCGTTTTTAAACAATATAAACATACATTTATTATGGCATTACACATAAACAACAGCAAAATTATGCTCAACACTTGGAATAACATACTTTTAAGCTCTGATAAAAAAAACAAAAAACGATTTGCATATGTAATTCTACATGTTTTTTAAAACAAAACATCTTCTCTATCATCTCTGCAGACATGTTCCTGTTTTTAGTTTTCTACATTCGCCTTATAATGTAGCTGTTTTTGCTACTTTTTTGCCATCTTATTTTAATTTGTTTAAAAAAAAACTGTATGCATCTTTTATGATCATCTATTGTTGTCACTGTTGTCCATTGTTGCGTCATTCTTTGTTGAAATCAGGTCTCTCTTGTAAATGAGTCCTCGAGGTTCAATGGAATTAACCTGTCTAAATAAATATCTTGATGCATGCTCAAAATAAAATCTAAATAAAGGTTGAATGAATCTTAACATCTGCATGTGAATGCAGCCCCCTAGTGGTCGGAAACAGTATGAGACGTATTTGTATATGTCTATGTGTGCGCCTGTCGCCTCGGGTGGGAGAGATAAACAAGAAACGGAGCGTGGAAGGGACAAACTACCTACTACCACTCGTCTTTTGCTTTATTGTGTGGAGCTGGGAGATAATCAACTAGTTTCACTCTGAAAGAAAGTCAAGCCCAAATAATCAACTTCACGTTCAAACCAAGCCCAAAAAAACCAACCCACGACTCACAAGATTTGCAAGCAACTTTAGAAAAAAAAACAAGCCCAAAGTCGCTTATAATAAGCGGACTTGGCAACTATGCTTCGAAGGCCACAATGACGTTCACATATCCCATAATTAATTGCACCATGTTGTTTGTGGATGCTACCTCCTTAATAACATCTCTGTCATAGATTACACTTTAAAGTGGCTAATTGTCAATAAAAACAATTGTAGCCCTGCTGAAATTTATCATAACTGGGAAAACTTTTATTTGACCACTTTCTGAATAGATGGGGTTTGGTAGGATTTTTTTTTTTCTCTAACAGTCATGTTTGATTTGAGCTGTTCTGGCTATGTAGTCATCTGTCCAGTAGTTTTTTTTTATTTTGATTTTCTTTTACTAAGATAGTTTTTGTGCAAGGGTAAAAGTGTGCTCCAGATGAGAAACAATCAAAATAATTTTTTTTTTTCCCCCTCACTGGTTGGGTGTATAAATGAATGGTCTACCATTTTTAAATGCTGATTGGCTGAGGGGAGGGGGGGGGGGCGGCGTGAGGAGGAGGAGAGAAAGAGACGCACAGGGGTGGGGGGGAGGGAAAAAAAGCGAACACAGACAGAAGAAAGGACTAAAACTTGTCCAAAGTTTTTAGTGGGAGTTGGGTGATTGAGGTGGTTTTGTAAAGCTGCGCTACAGAACGCAGCTGGACTTCAGAGCCGTGCTGAGCTCACAACAGCGGCTGTAGTGAGATTGCGGTGCAGTGACGTCAGACCGGTGTGGGAGTGAGACGCCGGCAAACCAGATGAGCGTCTCAGGTGACTGGGGAAGCCTGCAAGGATTTCTGTTAATCTGTCGATGAGGGAGACTGGAACGTTGTGCTGACCGTCTGTGTGGAGGTTGCTGGATCCGTGCCACATAACGTCAAGAGGTGACACACACGGACACAGGAAATACTTGGAGGTTGAGTGAGTACTCACATCTTTTCGTCAAACATTGGAATTAACGGGTTACACTGTAATTGGTCCCACCGCTCCCGAGCGTCGTCCAGGCCTGCAACGTGGGGGGTTAATCTACAAACACTTGATAATTTTTGAACAGATAAACAGCGCTGAATTTTATTTGGGGGGTTGCATTTAATAACACCAGCTGGTGTAGGTTCAAAAGTAGATCCACAAATTAATGAGTTCTTATAAATGCACTGTAAAAATTTGATGGTTTAAATTGAAGAAAAATTGAGGAGTGTACAAATTTGATTTATTTAAAGGGCAGAATGTGCTTGTAAAATTAAAATTGTGTTTAACTGATATGTTTTTTGTCTAAAGAAATTTAGCTTAACTGATCTCTCAATAATTTTATTTCATTTTTGTGTTGAATTTAGCATATAGTTTTTCCCCGTCTTAATAAATTAGAGAGTGATAAGATACATTGTTTGATTATTTGGGTTTCCTATTTGGGTTGGTGTAAATATAAAAAGTATGAGTTGAAAGTCTACCCAGGGAAGTAATATAAAATAGAATAGTTGAACTCAGGGCGCTATCCTAGTGGGAGAGGATAAAGGAAGCGCTACACAATAATAAAATGTAAAAATTATATATCTGAAGGCGAATGTAACTAAAATAAACAATTGATGCACCCTGGGTTTGTGGTTTACACAGTACAATTCAATTCAGTTTATTTATATAGCATCAAATCACAACAAAAGTCATCTCAGGTCACTGAACAGAAACATTCATATATATAAAACTAAGTTAACATTAACTTAGGAGCATACTGCTTTGCGTTTAACTCCATCACAGAATTCTCATCTTGAGCAAGCATGAAGGCAACAGTGGAAAGGAAAAACTCCCTCATGAGAAGAAACCTTTAGTAGAACCAGGCTCAGGACAAGCGTCCATCTGCTTTGGCTGGTTGGGTTTGAGAGGAACAGATACACAATGGCAGGTCACGAATCACATGTTAAGATGGAAGTAGTATCGATGAAAACTTTTCAATTTTAACAATTAATTTTTTAAGAAAATTGTCAATTTGTCTTCCAGTAGTCTAAGCCTATGGCAGCATGACAAGCCGACCCTAACTATAGAATTTTTTAAAAAGGAAAGTCTTGAGCCCAGTCTTAAAACTGGACAATTCCTTACAAACATAATCTGGAAGTTGGCTCCGCAGGAGAGGAGCCTGATCGTTGCAAGATCTTCCTCCCATTCTGCGTTTGAAAGCTCTAGGAACCGCAAGTAAGCCTGCAGTCTGAGAGTGAAGTGCTCTGTTTGGAAAATATGGAACAATAAGGTCTCGAATATAAGCTGGAGTTTGGTTGTTGTGAGCTTTGTAGGTTAAAAGTAAGATTTTAAATTCAAAGTACAAAGTAAAAGGCCCAAAAAATGCAGTGCTATGGTATGTTGGCAGGCAAACAATGCAATACATATCACAGGATCCCTTCCTGCCTCTCCTACTCTAGATTCTGCATGACTGGTTGCCTCATTGCCCCACCTCCAACTGATAAAAAACCACATACCACCAAATCCCCTAAAGCCTACACATTTATACCTCTACTACCCACATCCCAAACAAAAATAAATATATAAACTAAACAAATTGCTAACCAACAAATTTATTCTAAGCAGTTATAATTAAACAAAAATACAAATTTAAATATCAAACCAGAAAATAAGCTAATTTTTAAACTAATAAACTCAGTTCATCGGTTTTTGCCAGGAACTTAACAGATGTTTAAAGCCACTTAGAGAGGTCAAGGTCGAGAGCTTCAGATCTTTTTGCAAGATATTCCAGGAAACAGGAGCGGAGTAGGAGCAGGCCCTTTTGCCTAGTTCAGTCCTCACAGAGGAAACACTGCATGTAATAATGTCCTGAAAGCGCACACTGTAGCTGCACTAGAGTGCAGGTTAGCAACTCTAAACATAGTGACAAAAAGAGGCAAAGGTAGAGAGCTGGCTGACATGATGCAGAGAAGGAAGGTAAACAGACATTTGTTTTTGACATGCTGCATAAACTGGTGTTCCTTTGACTTGGAACAGTTCTGATCCACAGAACATAAAGCAACAACACAAGTGATGTATGATTGAATATAACATAATTGTCCATATTGTCTTTGTTTTACTGCTCCCTGCAGATGTTCAGCAGACTCTCCTGATTAAAGTAGATGCTCCAAAGGAATGGAGGCCTGATGTGGACCAGCAGAACCCAGAGCCTCTCCACATAAAGGAGGAACAGGAGGAACTCTGGACCCAATTGGAGTTGGAGGGAGAGCAGATCAGTATGAAGGAGACTGATGCCAGCAGGTTTTCATTCACTGTAGTTCATGTGAAGACTGAGGATGATGAAGAGAAGCCTCTTTTCTCACAGCTTCATTATCACCAAATGAAGGACAGAGATGGTCCACCCAGCAGCTCAGCTGACCAGATGAAAATCGAAGCTGATGTAGCAGACTGTGGAGGAGCAGAAACCAGCAGGAACCCAGATCTAAATCTTCATGGAGATGCTTCCAGCTCTTCAGAGACTGAAGTCCGTGAGGATGATGAAGACGACGAGGATGGGAACAATCCTGACTCTCAGCTGGAACACTTGTCAGACTCTGGGTCAACAACTGAAGACGGTGACAAAGACTGGAAGGAGAGCAGAGCTCCTGAGTCAGCTGTAAACTCTGTCAACGCATGTTTCAGCTGCTCTGAGTGTGGTAAACAATTGCTGCACAACCAGTCTCTTCAGAGCCACATGCCATGTCATTCAACAGTAAGACGTTCAAGCTGTCTGGGTCAGAAGAAAAATGTAGAGTCAGACAGGAAAGTTCAGACAGGACCGACATCAATTAGTTGTGATGAATGTGGTAAAAGATTTAACATAAAAACAAATTTAAAAACACACATGAGAGTCCACACAGGAGAGAAACCATTTGTCTGTGATGTTTGTGGACACAGATTTAGACAAAAAACTCATTTTAACTCACATATGAGAATCCACACGGGACAGAAACCATTTAAATGTGAGATTTGTGGACAGATATTTAGCTGGAAGACAAGTTTAAACTCACACATGAGAGTCCACACTGGACAGAAACTGTTTAAATGTGAGATTTGTGGACAAAGACTTGGGTACAAGACAAGTTTAAACTCGCATATGAGAGTCCACACGGGACATAAATTGTTTAAATGTGAGGTTTGTGGACAAAGATTTAGCCAGAAGACTAGTTTCAAATCACACATGAGTGTCCACACTGGACAAAAAACATTTGAATGTGAGGACTGTGGAGGAAGATTTAGCCAGAAGACCAGTTTAGACAAACATATGACAGTTCACACAGGACAGAAACCATTTGAATGTGAGCTTTGTGGGCAAAGATTTAGCAGAAAGACAAATTTAAACAGACACTTGAGAGTGCACACTGGCCAGAGACCATTTGAATGTGACAATTGTGGGCAAACATTTAGCCACAAATCAAGTTTAAACACGCACATGAGAGTTCACACAGGACAGAAACCGTTTGAATGTGACAATTGTGGACAAAGATTTAGCCACAAATCAAGTTTAAACACGCACATGAGAGTTCACACAGGACAGAAACCTTTTCAATGTGAGATTTGCGGACAGAGATTTAGCCAGAAAACTAATTTAAACCAACACATGAGAGTCCACACGGGACAAAAACTGTTTAAATGTGAGCTTTGTGGACAAAGATTTACTCGGAAGTCAAGTTTAAACTCACACATGAGAGTCCACACAGGACAGTAACCATTTAAATGTAAGAATTGTGGTAAAATATTTTGCCATAAGCATAATTAGATAAAAGTCCATAAGTAATAAACCTGTCCTTTGCCATGACTGATGTAAAAGATTTAGACTTTTTTCAAAAACAGTCCAACTGAATGTTAAGACAAGTTCTAACAAAACATGAGAGTTCGCTCTGAATATGCGAGAGTAGCAACATGCTGGTCATACAGGGCCTTTTTTTTTTTAAGTTCCCAAATTTTTAATTTTTTTTTATTTATTAACCTTTATTTAAGCAGGCAAATCTCATTGAGATAACAGATCTTTTTTGCAAGGGAGGCCTGGGCCTGAAGGCAGCCTAACATGTATGTTTTTAGTCTGTGGGAGGAAATCGGAGTACCTGGAGAAAACCCAACCAAGCACGAGAAGAGCATGCAAACTCCACACAGAAAGACCCCAGGTCCAACTGGGGATTTAACCCAGGACCTTCTTGCTGTGAGGCAACAGTGCTAACCACTGAATCATTTTTAAAATTGTACACCCATCTTTGACTCCAACACACCCCTCCTCCAGTCTGCAGTTTTTATTGTGAAAATGTTGAAAATTGTGAATTATCCCTAAATTTGTGTTGTTGGAAGCTAAATATTGTTGATTTTATTCACATTATTTGATGTTTAATTTTCGTGTTTTTGTTTATAGCTCTCAGATCAAAGGTCTTCCTCAAAACACAAACACCTCCTTTACGAGGTTAAATAAATGAGTTCTGGAAAGATGGTAAGAGTTTACATGTTAGTTTATTACAAGTAAAGCAAGGTAAGAATGGTAGGTTTTTATATTTTTACATAATTCTGTCCTGTTTGTCGGTCAGATGTAGATTTGCAGACAACCTGCATTAAACTTTAATATATTCATGTGACAGTAGTTATATGTCCTGTTAATCTTTGCAGTGTTTCCCCTAGTTTACTTTCTTTGGCAGGAGATGGCTCAGCGTGACGGAAATGGTGCGCTGTAGCTTTTTGCTAATACATCTGTGTTGCGTGCTGCTAGCTTAGCGCTACCTCAGTGCCAGCAGTTGTCGTAATGTGAGAGGAGACACTACTTAGTTTACTTGGATGTGCTCTAACTAAAATGATCACCAGTTTAGAGAGTACAACATGTACTTTGGTTCTTTCATATATAATAAAGTGTAAAATTAAGTAAATGTGTTTCTCTTGTCCAGGTGATTTAAATTTATTCTTTATCATATGCAGGTCAACACAAGGTCAATGCAATGAAATGCTCAGGACATGAAGAAGCTTGACTAGCCAAAAAAAATACAAGAAATATGCAGAAGTACAAAACAAAGCACCAAAAAGTGAAAAAGAAATCAACAAGTATTGGCGGCTGTCAAACAAACTGAGTCGCTGAGTAGGGGAAATTATTGTTGATGCGCCCGCTGTTCAAGACATAAATCCAAGCTGCAGTTAAGATTCCTTTATTGGTGTCAAATTCTTCATATTCCATAGCAAAACATCCGTGAATCATTTATATCTCAGAGCAGCATACAAAACTGATCCACAGGTTCCAGCAGAGATCAATGGCAAATATGCAAAGCGTAAAGCGGTCAGCAAAAATATAGACTTCCACCATCACCCACTCATTAACAAACTCACCAGGTGAGCAAATGGGTGATCTTAAAATCACTGCCGACACCACATGATGCAAAACTACGCTCATCCACCACATTCTGGCCCCTAATTATTACATTATTTTACAGTAATAATTACACATCCATCACCTTAACCTAAGATATACACTACGTCACTGACATCCAATGAGACAACATAACGCATTCAAGCAGTCCATTAAAGTAATTTTCTCTTATTTTCTTTTGTCCATACATAGTCAGTCAGTCATAGGCCAGAGGTTACCAGCACATAGCCTAAATATAGTCAGTCTGCGATGTACATCTAGTAGCTTTAAAGTCAAATCAAAGTGTCATGTCAAATTATGTCAAATGTGTCGCCTTCATTGGTCGGAAGTCTCCTGAAGAAGGCATATCTTTGTGACGGGCCTGCATACATGGCTCATTGGGGTCTTAATCCAGACCTGACGTACAAGCCCCTTTTGTCTGGCACCACTCCTGTGATTCTATCAATGATCCAGGAACCAAGAGGTGCAGAGTCATCTACTATCAGGACCACATCTCCAGGAACAAGGTTGTGTTTAATTCTCGTCCATTTCTGGCACTGTTGAAATTGTGGCAAATATTCTTTAATCCATCTTTTCCAAAACAGATCAGATGGGACCTGTCTCCATCGTTTATGTGCATAAAGGTCACGTTTCTGGAACAAACCAGGTGGTAAGCATGGGTTAGACTTGAGAAGGAGTGGGTGGTCCCATTGACTGCAGGAGTCAGTGGCACAGCCTGGCAGTTCCATTGACAGCAACTGTTGGCGGCACAGTCGTCGTGACGGTCCCACTGACGGCAACGGTCGGCGGCACAGCCATCGTGGCGGTCCCA